GAGCAATCACATTCCCTTCCTCATTCCTGAACACTCCTACTCCATATGGGCCTGTGTTACCATCACTACTCCCATCAAAATTTAACTTTATGAACTCCGCATTGGATGAGTCAAGGATTTGATGGGAGAAGAATTAGCCACATCCTTCCACTTTCTAACCAGAGCATCAGCAGAAATACCCTCAAAAATATCCAAGGACTTCACCCAATGTACCACCCTAGCTGTAATGGTTTCAAGGATGGCTTCTTTGCTTCTTTCCTTTTCAGAGAAGATTCTTTGGTTCCTTTCTTCCTAAATTGTCCAGAAAACAGCAGCTCTTGCACTTCTCCACAATAATTTACCCCTCTTCTTAGACTCCCTAACAGAGCAAGAAGCAAACAAACCTTGTACATTTGGAGGGGGTCCACCTCCAACCAAACAAAGAGAAACACCAGTCCCAAATTGCTAAAACAAAAGGGCAAGAGATTAATTAAGTGATAGTAGGTTTCACCGTAGGCTCTATAGAGGATGCACTAATAAGAACAGCCCATTTTTCCACAAACTCCCCATATTACTCTTAGCAGTTTTCTATCTACCACTTCTTTTTTTGTTTCTTGTAAGATGATAATGTTTGGGTTTTCTCTTCTTATAGTATCTTTCACCAGACACCTCTTAAGTTGGTCTCCCAAACCGTTGGCATTCCAACTTAAAATCTTCATTGTGCCACATTCACTAATTTTCCCTTATCTGTCCTAGAACCAACCAACTTGTGATCCATCATCCCCCATTGAAGTCTCTTTAATTCCCTTTTAGGACCCCTTTCTCTCCCCAAAGCTTTTCCCCTGTTGTCACAACCTCCACTTTTAGATCCCTGACTGTCAATAGTTTCCTTTTCTCTATTTATCCCCAACTTCCTAGCCATGTCAATTGTTCCACCTTCCAACTACGCCTCCCTTCTACTATATCCGAAAAAATGAGTACCATCTTCCAGCCTTGTCACCTCAACTGGTAAAAGACTGGTTCCCTGACAACTAGGGTTAACTCTCAGTTGGGATGACACTCCATTCAAACCTGAAAAACAAGAAAGCCAAGTGAGTGGTAGGAACATGAATAGAAATAGGCTGGTTGGAAAGCAATGAAGAAGAGGAAACTCTGGACTCTGGAGAGAAGCAGATGGCTATGAGAGGAAATGAGAGGACTATATGGCTAACCTAGTCCTCGACATTTTACAAGGCTTTCTAAGTTGTAGTAATTCCCATACTCAAGATTCACCAATTGCATCTGCACAAACAACCTACACTCCCACATGCCTCCTTCCTAGCAAATTGTTAGAATGCTCGAGTCAGGGGTATTTTGGTCATTCTAGATTATCTACTTGAGAGTGAAAGGTCTATTGTATCTGAGTTTAAGTTATGTGTCCCATCTTCTATGAGGGACAAAATGGTMTTTCTTGTAACTCTATGTTTTTGAATAAATACAAGTGGGTCAGCTAGGAGAGWGTGATTTTTTACTCTCTTCTAGTCTGGCCGAACTCTCTTTCTCTTCTTCTTCTTCTTCTTCTTCTTCTTCTTCTTCTTCTTCTTTCTCTTTTCTTTCTTCTTCTCTACTTTGACCTAGAATCTGCTAGGGTTTACTTACACAAATAAAGCTTTCGCCCTCATGAGAGCCACTTCCCTAGGATCTGGTTCAGCCTCCATAGCATAAGAACTCAAATCCTCATCAACCACAACGTCAACAGTTGCACAAAAGAGGAGCTTGAACTCATTAAGGGTGTCAGGGGCCTATAGATTTCTCTCTGGTATCTCCCCAAATTGGGAGGGGTTCTCAGCAAAGGCTTGTCTAGAAAGGAAGGGGTCTCAGGTGGGCTTAAGTCTCATTGACCGACCTTTGGTCCAGGCACTTAGGCTTTTGAGAACCCACGGCTAACTTGTAAGCAAGAGGGTCTTGGGTCAGGGTTTGGAGCCCCTGAGGGTCGGGTTTTAGTGGGGCCCTCCAGTGAATGAGAAAGCAACTTTTAGAGCCCCTTTTGAAAACTGAAAAGGGTGCCTGAGATTAGCATGGATTGCCTTACTTTCCCGGCTCCTTATTTTATGAACTCCAAAATGAAGACTTTTAGCAAAGTTTTTTGTATTACAAGGTGGGTCAGAACCTAGCAACTCTTTCTCTTCATCTTTACGAAAACTTCCCAAAGAAGGCCTTGACCAAACTGAAGCTTCTGCACCACCATGAATACGGAAACCATGAGTTGACTCAGCAGGTTGAGCACAAGACTCGTTCGTCTTCTCCACCTCCACTGATAGGTAAAACCAAACATTCATGTCCAGCAAAGGAATTGAACAAGGGATAGCGTGTACACCATAGCTCATCATCTTAACCCAATCAAAGTTCAAAACGAAAAAGCCCTTTGTTCCCTAATCCATCTCTTCAAGACCTCCACACACACTTCCTTTGTCTAGAGGTGGAAGAGTATACCATGAATTTTTAGCCAGCCATCAAAATTCAAACAACCTGGGACAGCATTAATCTAAAGGGACCAACTTTCCATACAATAAACTATCTCCTATTTGACCCAAGTCAACACTAAATCCTCTGAAGGAGCAAAACCCACCACCATGTTTGTGTCGAAAGGGAAGAGGTTTAATACCTCTTAGGTATGAAAGGTAGCAAAAAGGCCTAGTTCGACTTCTCTCCACATCAAAGTTTCTTGTTTGGTACAGACGAAAGCTTGTTTCCACCTTCCGAAAGGTTTATCTTGATGAACTACTGAAATGAAGGAAGATCCTCCTACCTTTATGAAATTATGACCTTACTTCTTTCTAGATGAGGGAAGAGATCCAGCGTAGGGGCTATGAAGCAGGATTTCTCTTTAGAAGGAACGAACAGACTCAGCCGGTAGTCAAAACTCTTCCATCCTTCACTAGACAGCTCTTCAAGAACGTAGATGCTTCTCCATTTAGCTGATCTCTCCCAACTATTCAGACATATGAATCTACCCCATCGATTCTCTTTTAGTTGTAGGAGTTGATCTTCCTTTGTCTCGCTTCTTGTCCTCTAGCGTCTGTCTCTGGTTCTTTAACACCTCCTATATGAACTTTCCCGTCCACTTCGGATCCTCCTCCTTCATAAACAATCTCATCCAGGTGCCTCTCCCTCTTTCTATCACTGCAATCACATCTTCTTGGATGTTAGGCCATAGTTCCAATTCGAAGGTCTTTGAACTGATTACTGCAACTCATCTCAGAAGCTTCTCCACAGAGAATCCTAATGTCTTCCTTAATGCATAATTATTAAAGAGTGCTTCTCTCCCCTTACCTAAGGCACAATGAATGATCAATCGTTCTTCTACCAAATAGCTCAACTTTCAGAAAGTCACCAAGCATATCATATAATATACCAAAACAACCATGTTGTATATTGATGTAAAAATATATAGGGATTGCTAACACTCCAACTCTCAATGTAAGTTTAGCTTTGTCTCCATTTTCATTTGACTAAGGTTCATTTGATAACAGCTGAAGTGGCTGAACTGAAAGCTTATTGCTTTGTCTTTTAGTGAATAACATTTTAAGGAAGTTGTGGGCTCCTTATTCCTTAATGACTGAAGCTGAAGTTCGGAAAATACCCTTGGCACTACTTGACCTGCAGAGTGAAGTCAATGCTGGAGATCCTTCTCTCTTCCAAAGATCCTATCCACCGTGTTTAGATTCATTTGTTTATCAATTTAGCAAATTTTCTAATAAACCTTACTGATGGAAGAAGTTTTCACTTTTCAGTAATACATTACCTAGAGGACTGGGTAAAAGAAATTTCCACCCAAGATCTAATAGTTGGTCCATTCACATTCTACATAAAGTTCATCTTGTTGTGATAGGAATAAACTTCCTTTAGCCCAAGGAATTTGATTATACAATGTAAAACCAAGTAAAGAGAAAAATATCAACTTCCTTCTCTCGAACAAAGTGTATCCTTTTGTCTATTGTCATACAAGAGCATCATACCCTGCATTGCTCTCCCTCTAAAGTCCTTTGGCTTATAATAGAATTAAAAGAAGCTCATTAAATTGATCAAGCAAAATATGGTTAAATAGTTGCATGTATGCATACATGCACCAAAGGTAACAAGACCAATAAGAAGTGTTTTAAGTACAGAAACAGAGAATCAAATCAAGCAGCCAAAAGTTCAGATACAAAATCTATCAAATATCCCTAAGCATCCTTTTCCGATTGCCTAGTGTTGAGTGACAAATAATGCTGCCCCAGGTTGATTCAGAATTCAATGGTTATATGGTTGGAATTAGTTCACCAACATGAGATACAAGCAATGAGAAGTGCGCAAGTTGGCAATCATTGTAACAGCCCATACAAATGTACACATGCACAAATATGTAGGGTAGGGAACTTTGTCATTAACTACAAAATAAAAAAGATAATGATCCGGAGGGATTTGGAATTTGGAGGATCAAGGATAGTAACATCTCTTTGCTGGGAAAATGGCTGTGATGATTCCTTAATAAGAACATCAGTTTGCAGTACTGTACTATAAGAAATATTTATGGTTATAATGACAATAGCTTAAAAATGCAGACATCTAGGCTATCAGGAAGGACAAAAATCTCCTTTCTCATGAAAATCCATCACATCTGTATCTCATAATGACAAAAATCCTTTTCATGACAAAAATCCTTGTATCTCATCCTTTTCATAACTATAAGGAATATGTATGGTTATAATGACAAACATCCTTTTCATCAGATATGACTCAGACAGAGGAAGGAGGACAGGTTTTGATTCAACTTGTATATCCTCCTCCAGGTTTTGGGATTTTGTTTTTATCAGCAGTTTTGGGAAATATTTTTTCAAGGAAGAAAGGATGCTAGAGCTTTTTTGTAGGCAGCTCATAGTCAAGGTATCCAAAATTGTAATCATTTTCCCTTCACAAAAACTAACCTATTACTGATTCAGCTTGTCTCTCATCCTCCAGGTTTCAGGAAGTATTTGTTCAAAAAAGGAAAGATGGTAGACCTTTTTGGTAGGCAGCTCATAGTTTATCAAAACACGAGCAGAAATTGGTGACTCCCCTGAAGCAAGAAGAGGCAGGCACGCATCCGTCACAACTACCACATGCGACTTGTTCTCTTGGTTCCCAGTTTCAATGTCTTCCTCGGGATTAGCAATATTTTGGTTCCACTCCATGACTGCTTCACAGAATTTGTCAAATACTGAAATGCGCTCAGCTTCAGCAAGATCACTGTACTGAAATGCATACAACGTGTTCACATCAGATACCACCCAAAAAAAATCAATAACTAAAAAATAATGCAAGGAAACAGGATAAAAATTTTGACCAGATTTTCTGAAATCAGCAAGGTAAATCTCATTAAAGAAACTGGAAAGTAGTACATTTTATCATTAAAAAGGTCCTGCTAGTCTTCTTTACATCATATGGCATGCCATGAAAAGCACTCAGAAGAAAGAATATGCACTTTCTAAGTGGAATGCCTATCAAAAGCACAAATGAATTCTCCAGTAGCAGAGAAGTAAAGGAAAATACACTGCAAGGATAGAAAACAATAAAAATCAAAATAGTTACTTGGTGAATATGCCAACCCATGCTCTTGTGGCATTGATCAAGATGACTAATCTCAATGTACTCAAGCATGTATTCTAGTATCACTGTTCACTAGCATTCCCCCTTCTTTTTGGTGCAAAAGCAGGGATTGATGTTAGGACATTTCAGTGTTGAACAACCCAAAGAGGATAATCATATCATTAAGCTTCAGGTAGATGCTTCCATATGATGACCCTTTTTTTTGGTAATCATATGATGACCTATAGACTTCAATTAAAGTATCAAATGAGCACTACTAGGTTTGGTATATAACAGTTAGAAGGCTTCTGTAACGTGCTCAAGAAACAACCACCAAAGCATCTTAACTATGATGAAACTTCGGGAATGTTAAAAACTAGTCCCTCGAACTCTCGCATTAATACTTTAATTAGATAGAAGTATTCACTCGAAGCCCATGCACAGTGTCCTGACAGCATCATTTTACCCCCTCCCCCCAAATAATTAAGTATGTTAAATGATTTCTGCACAGTTAAGCACCCGCCATTGGAGTGGCATCATAACCAAGAACAAGGCCCCTAAAATAGTTCAAATGGATGACATGATGAAGATGGAACCCTTACAATCATTTGTATTCTAGAAGAACCAGACACAAGTTCATCCATCATCTAAACATAGCAAAAAATACAAAAATTTTCAAAAGACAAGGAAAGAATAGCTTTTCAAAAACAAAAAGGAACAAATACCAGTGAAGTCAAAGAAATGTAGGGGAGGTTGGAGACAGCTGAGCAGACAGCGTCAAGTTCATCTCTTGAGCTGCAACAGAGCACCATAGGTAAGGATGAACGTCGGCCCGCCACCCCCAACAGATCTACCAAAGTCTCCTGCCAAAATTTTGATTTAGAAAAAAAAACGATAATATTAAAGAATTACGAAACTCAATACTGGTTTTAATTAAAGTAAAATACAAACGAAGATAAAGAAATTAAGAGAAATGAAGGAGAAGACACTACGAACCATTTTGAATTGAATTCTGTCGACGGCGACATAGTAGTGCCGTGGTTGACTGTCACAAAACCTTGCAGTGTTATTTTGATGAGGGAAGAATAATTTCATATGAGAACGAAAAAAAATCAAAAAGAAAATGAAGAAAGACCACCGTCCATTCAAACAATAATAATACCTGAAATGGAGTGCAGATGGAGAGGAAGATGAAGATGGTGATTCAACTGCATCTATCGCCATCCTCCTCACGAGACAACAAAAGCCTTCCCGGTGTTCAAATCTTATGCACTTTATAAGTAATTAATAATTTTCATCATTTCTCTTTAACTTTATCACAACTTTTCAAAATGTCTAAAACTCGCCATATTATTAATTTGACATTAAATAGATTAACAAGTGTTAATATATTATCATTTTAATCTTTATATAAAAATATAAAATATATACAAAATAAATTAATGGGTGTTAATATATTATCATTTTAATATTTAGATATAAAAAAAGGAAAAAGTTTAAAAAAATATTTTTAAATATAAAATACATAAAAACATAAAAATTATAAAAAAATTTATAAAAATTGCAAACAAAATAAAATTTATTTTCAAATTATAGAAACTATAGAAATTGAAAAACAAAATCAGAAAATAAAAACCGTAGAAAAAACACCAAAATTTATAGAAAAATGCAGAAATTGTAAATAAATAACAAAAATATAGGAAAGTTTATAGATCATACAAAATAAAAAATGTAAAAAAAACAAAAAATTATAAAAAACATTGAAAATTATAACAAAACACAAAAAAAGAAAAAAAAAACAAGAAAATTGAAAACCAAAAAAGCCATTTGTCCTCTAACTCACCATTTAAGGGTAATTTGGTCATGAAAATTGTTATTTATACTAACATGGACACCTCTGTTAAGAAGCATTAACGATGCATCAACGGAAGGTGAGTTTTGGAAAATAAAAACTTACTGACATGGTGAGTTTTAGACATTTTGAAAAGTTGTGGAGAGTTTAAGAGAATTGTTGAAAACTCAAAGTGAGATTTAGACAATTTCCCATAAATTAATAATCAAAATTTGTTGTTAATTAACTAAAATATTGAAAGTTATTGTTAATATCTAAAACTTTAATAATTTTATTTTTCATTTAATGTTGATTTACAAAAAATAATCATTGTTAATTTAATATGATAAATACTTTTTAATAAATTTAGTTTTATTAATAATTTGTAGTAATTTTAATAATTGTTTTATTTTTATTATTTTTAAATGAAATTTTGATTCACTTTAAATAAATAAAAAAATTACAAAAGCTAATATTTTTATTAATTTCACTAATAATTAACAATTATATAGGAATGACAACAGGGTGGGTTCAGGGCAGGACACCCCATCCCTGTCCCTACCCCATATTCAAGACACTCTACCCCATCTCCACCTCATCCCCAGTGTCAGGCGGGTTTAGGGCAAGGCAACCACTCTTCAATGTTGGGAGAATTTAGGGGCAAGGCATCCCACTCCTCATCAAGGATGGGGAATCGTCGAATTTCCCTGCCCTATCCCCAGTATTGGGCAGGTTCAAGTAAAAGTGTAAATCGAGTTGTGCTGGGCTGGCACGGCACAACCTACATGCAATCCGCACAAAGTGCAAGCCATGTCGTGCTGGCCCACGAGGCATCCTTGGCTATGCCTCCCTCCCCTGGGATAATTTGGGAGCTCGTGTCGTGCCGTGGATCGGGCTGGTCCATGAGTCGAGCCTTGGGCCAAGCCAGGTCGCACACCAGTCCAAGCTATGAGAGGTCCGTTTAAAAAAAATAAAAAAGATGTTTCAATTTTATTCCATATGTTTTTTTATGTATACAATTGTTTATATATACAATTAGACTTATTCATGGGCCAGGTAGCCCAACGACCCAATCTGGTCTTACCTGTTATTTTTTAGGCTTGGACAAAATTTCAAGGTCGTGCGGTCGAGCTTGGGCTTTCTCAAATAAGCCTGGCTCGATACTATTACATATATTAAAAAATACTTATATTATATATAATAAATAATATATATATATATGTATTAGTTTATTAATTTATTAAATTATTTTTTAAATATATTAATATAATATTAGTTTATAAGAGTATACTGAAAATAAGACATTTTGTGTATAGATCGGGCTTCAGGCTCAAGCTCGAGCTTCGGGCTTTATATAAGGGCTGGGCTCGGGCTCAATATCTAGGTCCGATGGTCGGACTTGGGCTTGCACATTTTCTGTTAATAAAGAGGCCGATGTTAATTATAAAACTATAACTTTTACAAATTAAAATTTTTATTTAATTCTAGTCTAGTATAAAAAAATATATATAACATTTAAATATATATATATATATATTAATATAAAATTTATTATTTAATAATATTTACCATATATGCATATAACTTCCAAGTTGAGCTTATTAGGGGTTGTTTAGCTTGGGCCCTATCCGCTAAAGCCATCACTGGACTATAAAAGTTTGATACCCAATTAGACTTCGAATTTGATTATCCCTCAAAATGTATGTGCATGGTGCATATTTCATCTAGAGCTAACTCAAAAAAAAATAGTTGCTTGAGCCTGCAAATTTATAGTTCTAATTGGGTTAGGTTAAGTTATAAACAAATTGATATTTTTTATTATTAATTATTAAAATATTGTTAGCTATTAAAATATTATAATTATTAAATTAAGGTATTTATTTAAAATATAGTAATTTCTAGAAATGATCATATTTTCAAAAATTTTGCTAATTTCTTGGATAAAACAAATTAAATGTAATTTTCTACTATTTCTAGCTTAAATTACAATTACTGTTAATTACAGTTTAAAAATAACTATTTTTTTATTATATTACAATTAATAAATAAAATACATTATTTTTTTCATTACTATTCAATATTTTTTGCAATAACATACAATTAATTTAAAATTTTCATTATTTTTAGCATTTTAATTAAGCTTTAGGTTTTTCAGAATTTTTGGATTTTTAATTAATTTTTTGTGTTTTTTCATTATCATTCAGCAATTTTTCCATATGAGTATTTTTCAATAATTTTCAGTATTTTCAGAATTTATTTTTGCATATTAGTCACTACAAAATTAATTTGCATTTGCTTTCAATAAAGATAAATTAAATAACTAAATAAATACCATAGTTAATAAAAAATACAGCTAATTTTCAATATTTTTCAATAATTTATGGCTAGGGTATTTTTTAATAATAAAATGCTACTAACTATACTTTTAAATTATTTTTAGTAAATACTCTTATTAATATAAATTTTTGTTAATTTTTAATCTTTTTTTAATTAATTTTTATATTTTAATTATGTTTAAGTTTTTTAGAATTTTCCAGATTTTTAATTAATTGTTGGTACTTTTCATTATTATTTAGTAATTTTTGCATATGAGTAATTTTTGCAATAAAATATTGTGAATAAAGCAAGTTATGCATTTTAGATTTTCTTCAATTTTTATCAATTTTAATGAGTTTATTATGCACAATAAAGGTCTCAACTCATAAAAATTATTAATTAATTAAAAATGCATTAATACAAAGTTATCTAATAATATTATTAAAACTATCAATTAATATTTTTATATTTAAATTTCTTTTTTTTTAATTAATTGTTGGTATTTTTTTCATTATTATTCAGTAATTTTTGCAATAAAATATTATTAATAAAATGGGTTCTGCGTTTTAATTTTTCATTAATTTTTATCATTTTTAATGAGTTCATTATGCACAACAAAGGTCTCAACTCATAAGTTATCTAACAATATTATTAAAACTATTAATTAATATTTTTATATTTAAATTTCTTATTTTTATTAGCGTTTATTAAGTTTGATTTTAAGTGGAATTGAAACATATTTTTAATATTTACTAAGTTTTGTTAATATTTATTTTTAGTGAAAGTTTAGTGGATTTTTAAAAATTAATGTTTTTGATTGTTTAACCTCAACCTATTTATATTATTATTATTCTCTCTCTATTTATCTATATCTCTCTCTTAAATGTCTTTTTTAAATGTAATAATAACATGCATTAAAATAAAAAGCCTCGTAAAATCTAAAAGTCTCTCTCTAATAGTGTGCAACTTTATTAATCTAATCAAGTTAAGCAATGATTACTGTTTTATATTTTTAAAACAAAAGAAAATAAGAAAAAATGAAGAAAATAGATAAATAGCTTCTCTCAAAGGAAAGACAAGCTAACAGAAATGGATGAGCGTCCATCGTCCAACACCCTGATTTTACATTTCCAATTCTACCCCTCCCTGATTTCATATTTCCAATCCTATCCCCTCTTAAAATGTTGATTATATATATATATAATATTTGTACCTGTACCATTTATACAAACAAGGATGGTGACAATGTTCTGTCAAAAAGTTTGCTTTTTTACTTTCCATTTTTACCCTTTATCATGTTTCTTATTTTAAATCTTTATTTTCACTTTCCATTTTTACCCTTTGTTATGTTTTCTATTTTTCCAATTTTATTTAATTAACAGTTAACACTTGTAATTGGACAATCTCTGTATCCCGAAGCACCTACTTAATTAATGAACCTCTTCATTAATTAGAGCTAACACGTGTCAAGTATGGGATGGTTTGCCCAAACCATGAATTTGAATTGAATGGAATAATAGATTTTTTCAACCTCTCTCTTTTCATCAAGGAACAATCAAATGATTAAATGAAGCTTTTTTTTTCTCCCTATTTTTTTCAATTGTCTCCCTTAATGTAATAAGTTGTATTGGATCAGGAAATGCTCTTAGGTTCATTATGTGTCTGTTTGGAACCGCTGTTGTTGCTCCAGAAAACGGTGGCACATCAGCGCCATGTAGGAAAAAAACAGTGCTCCAGGAAACAACCATCTGTTTAGAACCGTTTTTCCATAGAAAATGGTGCTCCAAGCCATGCCTTGGAAATCAGGAAGGCATGGCTTGGAGCAACGCCAAATTTGGCGTTTCCTAAAGCTGCATCTCGTTGTTGCCATATGGCAATGATGTGGTAGTGGATAATGGGTAGAAGTGCAGAAAACATTTCCTGGAGCATTGGTACCAAACAAAAAAAGTTGTTGTTGCTCTAGGAAACATCCTACCTAGCAGCAACAATTCCAAACAAAAAAAAGGCACCGTTTTTTGTTTGGAATGCATTTTGTTGGCAGGAAATCCAGATTCTTCTATATAAATTGAATGGATGTTCGATTTGAATCTGAATATAAATGAATCAAGATTAACCTATATCCTAATGCT